CAGAGAAACCTTACTCACCTATAAGTCGTAGGGGGGGGGGGGGGTGAGAGGGGGGGGGGGAAGTTTCCTTTCAAACATGGGCAAGTGAAGTAGAGTTCACTTGTTTCTGTGACCTCGGCATATGAAGAGATAATGTAGTCAGCACTATGCCCAGCCGCCTTTACTTTCCCTAACGTGAGTTAGGTACCCATCAGAGTTGGGTGGACTCAGGGACGGTCTACTGATATGAACCCGGATTCGAGTTACGGGTTTGCAGTCCAGTTAAAAACAGGTGTATCGACACATCAATAGCCGCTCTGAAATAAAAAAATCATAGATGGGTATGATATGATTTTTTTATAGATGGGTACGATATCACTTATAGCCTCAATTTGGTTTTAGCCTGCATTACCACATTTTTCCACAAAGACGTACACTGTCTTCTCCCTTATCCGTACTTCAACCTGTCTTATGCCTGTCCCCACAATTAATCCATCTAAGCATAGACCTGCCTTTAAGGCGTTTCCATTTGTGCGTTTGTTTATTCACTATACGGTTATCTCAAAGCGTGATCTTAATTCAAACCATGCACCATAGAACCATTGAGTGTGACAATAAGACTAGAACTTAAAGCAAAGCAATACTTTCATATCAATACAGATTCATAAAGATCATATTATATACATAAATAGCAGGGTATTTAGAAAGTAAAAGATAGAAAGTAGCTAAAAAACTTATTACAAAGATAGGGTTTTTAAACGTAAATTTTAAATAATACAAGCTAAAAAAAGCAGACACACGGACAAAATTGCAAAACTATTTTTTTTTCTGACTCAGGGAGTTGAAAAAACGTCAAGATTTGTGAAAATCTCGATTTCGATTTTTTTGCACGATTGCAATACTTCCTCTATACTTCGTGTACGAGAAAGTAAAAATATAGTATATGCCCAGAAGTTATTAATCGATTATAAAATGAATGAATTCTACCAACAAAAACATTAATAGAACATATCTCTTATAATATTAATATATGCTTCAATGTAAACATATCTTAAATGGCAATTATTATTAACTGTACAAAATAAAAGTAATCACCAAAAACAGAACTCTATGATTTAAAGAACATTGCAATATTCAAGGACGAAGTAACGCGATAATGGAAGAATAAAAAAACACATCACAAAAGCTTACAAAATAACTGCAATGGCCAATTCGTCAAACAGATTTCTAGTCTCACGGGCGAGAATATAACGAGACTTTGCCTCTAGGGACGAGAACTGAACGAGACTTAGCCTCCAGGGGCGGGTGGCTTCTAAGAGTGATGATTGGCTCTATCAAAGGCAATCAAGCAATGCGAGGCTACTCGCGACGACAAATCTTTTCACTAAGCTGTTCGTCACATCCTCATTCCCTGCAGGGCCGGAGATATATTTGTAACGTTTCTGTAGAAAGACAGACTGGCTTGTTGAAAGGAGTTTAAGTACGAGTGTTGGAGATGATTGATTTTTAATCGATCAAAACAAAGAGAGAATTGTAAACTATTACATAATTTAAGCAATAGTGAGTGTGAGTGATTGAAGAACCTTTTGATACCTTTTGTATGTAGTTGTACTACTATTAGGTGTCGGCGTGGTCGAGTCGGTAAAGCTCATGGTTGCTGAACCGAAAAGAATCGAGTTCGAACCGTCTAGGAGTGACAACTCTATAATCATACAACTGCTGCTTTGTAGTTTGTTCTTGGTTGGACAAAGGCTATGGGAGCAAATCCAATATGAAAAGTAGTCTGAACTCGGAGTCAATGGCCTCAATGTCGCATAACCAGTTGACACGTATACTTAATTGTGCTGGAGGGCATCCCTCCCAACACTAAAATTAAGAACGAAGAAGTACTACTGTTATTTCAATAAAAAATCTAATTAGAACCTAAATTTGATGGCCCAAATTTATAATAAATTAAACAAATCTTGCAATTAAACTTAAGTAGGTAATCAAATGTTGTAGCCTTTAATACAAATATGATTTAAAAGAAATATCGTCCACATGTCATTAACGAAAATATACTAATTATATAACAATTCAGTCATGCGTATCACCACTATCCTATTAATAAATCAATATTGATACTAAATAATTACTTTATAAGAATTAACTGACATTTTTTAAAGCTTTCTCAATCGAAGATATTATTCCATCTAAACGTTAAAAAAACCCCACTGAATCCAAACCTAAGCTTAAACATTCTCTTAAATCATGTATTGGTGTAAGGCTTGAGTGTAGTAAAGTACCAAACATTGCTACAAATCACCCAGTACAATATAATGATACTCTGCTAATGCCAGCCTTTAAATAGTTTATTCAGTAGTTTTACGAAGACTTCTAATTGAGCCGGCTACTTGCGAAGACACACCCCACTCTGTTCAACACTTTCAGTCACCAATTCAGCTCAGAGCGACCAAACAAACCGGAGAGATAGTCTCTAGCACAAATGCATCTCGCGAGATCAATAAGAAAATGTTAGAATTTAACAGGCGCGCGTCGATTACGGGCAGATTTGTCTCCTTGTCAGTCGTCATGACGGGGCAGATTGGGGCAGATCTGTCTCCATGTTGCTCGTCCTTCCGTGGCAGATTGGGGCAGATTGGGGCAGATCTAATGTGTGATAATACGGGAGCATCGAGTGCGTTTTTGTTTGTAATATTTGAAGTGTGGTCAGAGATTTTTGGGTATCCCCCTCGATGGAGTCAGAGTTTCTTTCATGTAACCCCCCCCCCCCTTCCTCGTTTACCGCCCACTTCCCTCCCTCCCCAAGCGAAATATAGAATATACATTTTAACCCAACCCCGAAAATATAAGTCCACCCTCCGCGAAAGTTTCAAGCGCTAAAGACTGTTTTAAAGAAAAGTTGGAAGCTAACAGAGGCGATGCGAGTGCAAACAGTAGCTCTTCATTACGATACAGGGGCTACTATTTCGGACCTTGATAGCTTGACATAAAGTGCTGTAAGCAAAGATGGGGAAACAGATGAAGAATTCAGCAAGACCAGGTACCCTTTCAACACCCTTCGTACAATATTGACGTCTAGAGCACTGTATCAAAGATAGGACTACTTAACAGCAATGTGAAATCTTTTCTCCTTTTTTATACAGAGACGTAAAGAGAAATACACAAGAGTAATATTTATACTTTTCTAAATGAATACATGCGTCGTATATTGAACATCACGCGGCCTGAGAAAATGTCCAACTTATCTCTCCAAACCGACTACAATAGAGGGTCCTGAGGAATGGTGATGATGAAAATCCGCAAAACTTTAGAAACCTGTTAGGAACAATTTAAAAAAAAAGTCATAATAAACTTGTTATAGGGCATAGGCTTATTGAAAAAAATTGATATATACGTTAGCCTTTTGCTTTAATGAAATTGCGATAATTACCCTTTCTACCAAGTTTATGTGACGCTAAGACATACATTCTCGCTAATCGCATTAACTCCACAAACTGCGCCAGTGTTAGTGTGTGAATATCTACGATTCTTATCGGGTAATCGAGTCCCGGCGTGGCGCGGACACCCGAGAATTAAAGTATCGATACCCTCATCTGTTTGACGCTGCAAATTTCCAGATCGAAGTCTCCAGTGATCTCTTATCTCCTTGGTTGGATGCGATTCTTGTGACTTGAGTTATATGCATGTAAATCGAAGGGGCGGGGTAGGGATGGGCAAGGGAATCCTATTTGTATATCGTAGCAAACTTTTTTTTTAGTTTTAGTTTTTGCTAGATGTTGATAAAAAGAAATCAAATTTGATGAAAAAATAAAATATAAATGTTTTTAGTGAAATTTTAATAATCGTTTTGTTTTTAAAAAAAGAATACGTTATGTAAATCAGTGTACTAAAATATAGGCTAATTGTGTTTGTTAATAATTGCGAGAAATTTTTGGGGAAAATTGGTAAGTTAAGCTCTCATATCTAAGCCCATTTATAATCAAGGAATTTTTTAAAAAAGTCTTAGCTTTAAATTTTGATCCTAATTAATTATTTTTTGTTGACAAAAATCAATAGAAACTATAGGTTATATAATGTATTTGAAAGTATGTTATATTGATGCAGGGAACGCTATATATTTTGAGATGTTTTAGAAATTATACGCTTTATGGATGTAAAAGAAACTATATGTTATACAGATGTACTTAATAGTATAAGCAATATGAGATATGTTTAAAACTTTCGGGTATATAGATTTACTAGAGAATATAAGTTATTTGATATCACACCTGTTTAGGGGCCCAAAATCCGACACAATTACTGTTTTTGCACCTTGAATATTTGCTAAATAATGTTGATCTAATTTATATAATAGCTTGACCATGGTATATGAACGGATGGTGTGGTCAGCACTATGTCACCCCCACATTTACGTAGCCCAAATGTAGGTTTGGTACCCATCAGAGCTGGATAGACTCAGCGACGTCATATAGTCACAAGTCTGAACCGATATCCGAAAAATCCACAAAGTAAAACAACATTTCCGTCTTATTCAAAAAAATATTCCATGTCTGAATCCCAGAGATCACGAAAAAATCTGAAAAAGCCACTAGCTCATAATCTAACAAATATTCAATATCTGACTTCCAGAGATCATAAAAAACTGAAAAAAAAACCTTCCTCATTCTCAATCACATTCCATATCTGAATTCCAGAGATCTCGAAACAGCTGGAAAAGCTACTTCCGTATACTTGATCAAATATTATTTGTCTGAATTCCAGAGATCGTGAAACAGCTGGAAAAGCTACTTCCGTATACTTAATCAAATATTATTTATCTGTATTCCAGAGATCGTGAAAAAGCTGAAAAAGCCCCTTCTCCATACTAAAACACATATGCCATTTCTGATTTCCAGATATCGCTAAAAGCCCCTTCTCCATGCTAAAATGTTTTACCATTTCTGATTCCCGGAGATCGTGAAAACGTTGGGAAAGCTACTTTCTTATACTTAATCAAATATTTTTTGTCTGATTCCCAGAGATCGTGAAAAAGCTGAAAAAGCCCCCTCCACTGATACGACCCAGCGTGACGCCCCAGGCCGCCCCTCCCCAGTTTATCCAGATCATGAAGCAATGCTGGTCGGAAATGCCGGAAATGAGACCGCACATCGACGAGGTCTACGACCAGTTCAAGAAACTAACCGGAGGAAAGTAAGTTCCGCCTTTGTCTTGTTATACATACCAATATATACCCATCTACGACCAGTTCAAGAAACTAACCGGAGGAAAGTAAGTTCCGCCTTTGTCTTGTTATACATACCAATATATACCTATCTACGACCAGTTCAAGAAACTAACCGGAGGAAAGTAAGTTCCGGCTTTGTCTTGTTATACATACCAATATATACCCATCTACGACCAGTTCAAGAAACTAACCGGAGGAAAGTAAGTTCCGGCTTTGTCTTGTGGTACATACCAATATATACCCATCTACGACCAGTTCAAGAAACTAACCGGAGGAAAGTAAGTTCCGGCTTTGTCTTCTGATACATACCAATATATTCCCATCTACGACCAGTTCAGGAAACTAACCGGAGGAAAGTAAGTTCCGGCTTTGTCTTCTGTTACGTAACACGGCACACTTTAATACCATGTACATCTATACAAGCATACCAATATATTACAATCTTCATTTCCTCTAATACTAGTTCAAACACTCACATTGTTCAGTATTATATATAGGTGAGCTAGATTATATCTTATTAATTTTTTTTAATGTGGTGACCGTTTTATATTAAAATCTTGATACAAAACGTATATTATTATATTATTTCGAAATATATTTTCTTATATAATAACGTAGTTTATCGCCCCTGCTTCTCCTAACCCCTAAAACATTTGAAATATTTTTTTAAATATAGATGATAAGAATGTCAAGTCTTCAACTTAGTATTATTACCTGCCCATTACTGAATATTAAGACTTGGAGTATGTAAATAATTTTTTTAACCTGTGTTAGTTATGTTTTTCCTTCCAGTACTGAAAACACATTGATTCATATTAGTGTAAAAATGTGTTTAGAGCGGTGTACATAACGAATTGACGAGTTAAAAAGTCTTTGAGTGGTGAGGGCAGTGAGATTGTGAGAGTTTATTCAGCTCTAATGCGTTCCAAGTCATAGAAAGTAATGGCCGCTGTAAGTAAAGTTTCCCTTTCAAACATGACGGTCTATAGGGCAAGTGAAGTAGAGTTCACTTGTTTCTGTGACCCTGGCATATGAAAGAATAGTGTAGTCAGCACAATGCCCAGCCGCCTTTACGTTCCCTAAAGAGTTCGGTGGACTCAGGAAGGGTCTACTGACTTGAACCCCGATTCGAACTCGTGACTTACGGGTCAGCAGTACAGCTCTCTACCGCTATGACCACTCCGTCCCATGAATAGTCCTTAGATTAACGTAAATTTGTCATTGGTTGAGGTGACGGAAACAAAACTCCATCTATTAAAGAGACAGTCCGAGTACTATACTCTTTTCTCTTACAACGTAGATTTCGCATATTTAATACAAGCCCAATACGAACACAATAAAAACTTCTTGTGTAATTGTCTAGTTTGTCTCGCAAAAGGAGAAAGAGACCCTTGCTGAAAGAACGCGTCTATTCTTATAACAACAGCGTGAGATGTTTTCATCTTCACATAAACACATTCTAAAAATAGAAATAGCACTTGACTAAAATTGATTTCTCCTAACTCGTGTAAAAACTGGAACACATTTCGATGAATTGCTATGGGATAATCTACAGCACACTCGGGAAATCAGCAGATACACACCAATAGTTATAGCTAGGGTGGCTGAAAGGGGTGGATGATGTTACAAAATATTGTGGGGCTGGATAGGACTGGGCACCAATACATCATGGCAGTTTGGTGTGGATAGGGCACCAATACATCATTGTAGTTGAGAGGGGAAGGGTTTAGGGCACCAAAATATCATGGCAGTTTGGGGGGGGGGGGCGGGCACCAAATAAAATATCATGGCAGTTGGGGGGAGGGGTTAGGGCACCAAAATATCATGGCAGTTTGGTGTAGATAGGCCACCAAAATATGGCAGTGGGGGGGAGGGGTGTTGCATCGGGCACCAAAATATGGCAATTGGGGGAGGCATATGGCACCAAAATAACAGGACATTATGGGGGTGGATATGGCACTAAAATATAAAAGTTCAGTTTGGGGTGGATAGGACACTAAATATGACAGTTCCGTGTTTGATAGGGCACCAAAATATCATGGCAGCTTGGTGTTGGATAGGGCACCAAAATATCATGACAGCTTGGTGTTGGATAGGGCACCAAAATACCATTGCTGTGGTATTTGGGGTGGAAAGCTGCAAAAGGTAACACACAGCAGCATTATTGTAAAATTACTTTAAGAAAAACTGGGTTGGGGGCAAGAGAAATTGAAATTTAAAAATATATTCATTTTTCGACTCATCATAATATAGTTTATTGCTGGGAAGTTTGTTTCGGAAAACTTAGTCTCGGTTATTTAACAAAGCAAACATGATGAGCACCTGTAGAATATAATTATGTAGAAAAATCGGTAGAAGGGAGAGGGGGGAGTGTCTCATGACTCCCCTTGACCCGACTTCCAGGAGCAGAGGCGTAGCGACCCCTCCCGGCGCCCGGGGACAAACTTTCAAATTGGCGCCCCCCCCTATATATTTTTTATATTTATAATTTTAAAAAGCAGCTAAAATGAGCTTATTTTGGCGCCCTAGGGTCGGCGTACCCCCCCCCCCCCCCGCGTCGCTACGCCTTTGTCCAGGAGTCTAAATGAATGCCAGACAATGTCACGGAAAACCCCGAAACTACCTTTTGATTCACTTCCGTCCAACGCCTCTACAGTTTCTTACAATAACCAAAACCTTAAACAAAACCTACAAGGAAATGAAAAGTCTACTTATTCTACATTTAATTGCGGTATCACATTACATTGGAGAGTTCGCTGTTTCAAAGCTTTTAGGTGGTACCACGAATTCTAAAAATAACAGCAAATAATGGCACCCGCGTAGAACTCTCTCTCATTAAGAGACTTTCTGTCTTGAAAATTCCAATTTTAATCTTTGACTCAAAGCCCGGGATTTTTTTTTTCTTTAGCCGCGAGTACCAAACGATGGACAATCGCAGACGGATGTTAAGTACCAGGACTTCCTGTTACGGGGATTTCTGGAACCGACGGCTCATTAAGGTGGTCGTCATAGTAGGATCATTAAAGGGCCATCACACGCGGCTCAAGGGCTAGTAACACAGTGGATGCGGTACTGTTTAGCCAATCAGATTTCACTCCGATGTCACGTGGTTTTATTTTTAGTCGGATGGGCTAATTATAGGAAATGTTGATGGTGCTTGGGATTTTAAAAAAATGAAACTGTTAATTCAATGTGGCATAAATAATGCAGAAGAAAATGAGTACACATACGATCAGTCAATTAATGCAATAATAAACCAAATGGAGTTAAATATATAGCATTATATTATTTTAAATAAGCAGGTGCATTTAAGGTATTACGGCCTCTGTAGTAGATAATAAAAAAAGTAATAGTAAAGTTCCACTTTCAAACCTGAAGGTCAATGGGACAAGCGAAGTAAAGTTCCATTTTCGAACCTGACGGTCAATGGGACAAGCGAAGTAAAGTTCACCTGTTCCTGTGACCTCAGGCATTTGAAAGGGTAGTGTTGTCAACACAATGCCCAGGTATATCAGATGAAGTAGACTTTATCTGTTTCAGAGACTACTGTTAAGAAAGTACCTGTAAGGGCAATAGTCCATGCCGAGTCACATTTATTTTACTCAGAATTTCCTCAATTAGAACTGGGCAAACTCGAACATTGCCAAATTGAGAATTTCCCCAATTAGAACTGGGTAAACTCAAGCATGTCCAAATTGAGAATTTCCCCAATTAGAACTGGGTAAACTCAAGCATGTCCAAATCGAGAATTTCCCCAATTACAACTAAACTCAAGCATGTCCAAATTGAGAATTTCCCCAATTAGAACTGGGTAAACTCAAGCATGTCCAAATCGAGAATTTCCCCAATTACAACTAAACTCAAGCATGTCCAAATTGAGAATCTCCCCAATTAGAACTGGGCAAACTCAAGCATGTCCAAATTGAGAATTTCCCCAATTACAACTAAACTCAAGCATGTCCAAATTGAGAATTTCCCCAATTACAACTAAACTCAAGCAGGTCCAAATTGAGAATTTCCCCAATTACAACTAAACTCAAGCATGTCCAAATTGAGAATTTCCCCAATTAGAACTGGGCAAACTCAAGCATGTCCAAATTTAAATGGATCGCACTTGTGGCTTTTTTCCCCCACAAAACACCCCATTACTTCACGCTTAGCCTAATGTTTAGGTTTATAAAGTTCCAATAGATTTTATCATAAATACGTGTTTGCATAAGATAAATAATTTAAAAAATAAATGGTTGCTGAGTTTGATTCTGAATTAGCCATACGATATTCACAAAAGTAAAGTAACTATCCAATCTTTGTAATCTTACTTTAAATTAAAACCTAGTTTGTTTTTTAAAAATCCAATTAATTACCTTAACTAGTTTTCGTCTACCCTTTTCACACCCAACCCGTTAAGCCAACCGGAAGTCTCAACTATCTCACGCAGGCTCCACCCAATGTAGAAATGAAATAAAGTTAAGAAAAATTAAGTGGGGGTCAACGTCCGCTCCCTATACGAATAACGTTAAAAGCTGTCTCCCACTGGACAATGGCCGTCGGGGGAACACCGGACACCCATTCACCCGACGAGAATCTCGCGAGAGGTTGTTCCGTTCGAGGTATTGGTTGTTCCCCTTGAAGATGCTCATCTAGTTCTCTCCCCTGTTTTTTCCCCTTTCCCGCATTGCTGATGCAGTTAAATTTTTTTTATTACATCTTGCGCAAACTGTTAATAAAAATCCTACAATTTATCGACCATTTGAGAGTGCACATTTGGCTTTCGGGGTGGTTCTTTATGTGCACCATCATCAAAATTAAATTTGTTAGCGGGCGAGATTTTACCCCGAGGGGTCGAGAAGTTTCTCGCCATTTAAAAGGAGCGTCAGGACAGTTGGGTCAGGAGTCGTGTTTATTATTAGCAATTTGCTTTTAATCGTCATACAGGCATATACTGTAGAGCCATAAACAGCGGCGG